GAAGGGTCTAGGCCCGAAACGTCAGCCTTTCTGCTCCTATGATGCTGCTTGGCCTGCTGTGTTCATCCAGCTCTGCACCTTGTTGTCACAGTTTAAAATCTGACCAGGTTCATCAACCCCGACTGTCAGACTAAACTCATGTGAATAATTATTTGGGAAACTGTTCTTATTCCTGCTGCCAGATCAGATTTGTTTACCCAAATGTGGATGTTTCTTTGTTCTATCAAATTATGCAGAGTTTCTTCCTCCTTTCAAGTGGAAATTTTGTCTTCCACCACCAATGGTGTAAAGCTGAAAACAAAAAATGCTGGCGCTGAAGTGAAGCTCTGATGAAGAGTCGTCTAGACTCAAAACGTTAGCTTACTTTTTCTCCATGATGCTGCCTGTCTTGTCTTGATCTCCAGCACTTTTTGTTTTTGGTACAGATTCCAGCATCTATGCAGTAATTTGCTCCTACTGGTGTAAAGCTGGTCTGGTTGATCTCTGTCCCTTTGAATAGGATTGTAATATTTGGAACTCTCCCAAATCCAGTTCTGCCACTGAGCTAACAGTGTTATTGCCATTTATATTTTGCAAGAAGTATGCCTTTCAGGGTTTGTTTTTCAGTATAATTTCCCAATGTTTTTCTGTGCAACTATTAACAATTATGGATCCAATCATATCAGCAGTTTCTGGTATACAGCAGATGGAACTGTAGAGTCTTGCTGTCAACTCCACAGTCACTTCAGGTCAGTACAAATTCATCCAATCACAGTGAAAACAAAGAAATGTTTAAGGTTCAGAGGAAATATGTAGAAAAACTGACAGGTAATGTTAATGGAATAAATAATTTTATTACCATGAGTTTTCAAAAAATTTTTTGGTAAGTTAGGGTTGATTACATAGAAACAGATTTATGGTAGAAGGAGACTATTCACTGTGTGTGCTGAAAATGAGCTATCCAATTTAATCCAAACAACCAGCTGTTGGTTCTCTGTCAAGTCATGGCATGTCAAATGCAAATCAAAGGTTTCTTTTAATGCAGTAAGGATTTCTACTTTAACCACCATTTCAGGCAGTGAGCTATGAACTCCTACCATCCTCAAGTAAAAAGTAATACACCTCAGTTCCCCTCTAATCCTTCTGCCAATTTCTTTAAATCTGTGTCTCTGGTTATTTCTTCTCTCTGAGAACGGAACTGAGTCCTGCCTCACCAAATAAGTCAAAATTTTATACACCTCAATTCTCCACTGATCCAAAGAAATCCACCTCAGCCTATCCAGTCTTCCGGCTTGTAACATCATCCTTGTGAATCTCCCTCAAATCTTCTCTTGTATGATCACATCATTCCTGTAATGAAGTGGCCAGAACTGTATTCCCATTGTGACATCACTAGTGCTTTATAATATTCTAGTATAACCTCCCAGCTTTAATAACAGTTTGAACTTACTAAATAAAAACCGAAAGAACTGCAAATGCTGTAAATCAGGAACAAACATTCAACAATTCTATATCTGGGTATGAAAGTAGAGAGAATGGAACT